GTGTGTGTGTGGCAGGGACTGCCGGCCCAGCAGATGTGTGACCTTCAGCGGAGACGGGACCCTCTTTGGTTGGTGTAACGGACAAAAGTAGGAGCTTCTCCATCCCTGTGAGTAACAACTGTCTTGCACCCTGTCTGACCTCTGACCTCTAACCCTCTGTCTGCCTGTACATCAGTGTCTCCATCGTGAACCCCTCAGATGGCGCTGTGGTGTCGACCTTTGACCTCCCGAAGACAGCCCTGCTGGAGTTTTCTCCACTCAACAACATCCTGGTTACCTGGCAACTGTACACGAGTAAGAGAAGAAGTTTCACGTCCGTAGATTAGAGATGAAACAAGTTCACATGAGGTCACGAGTCCTCGTACACCCAGACAGGTAGACTGATGTCATGTGACATCAACATTTCTCAGACTCTCCTCTGCACTCTGAGCTCACGCTCAGTCGCAGAGACGGTGACACTAGAACGGTTACGCAGATACTCCTTTTTGTTCCCCTGTGCAGGCAGGTGTTTGGTAAATTTACCCAAACAAAGAAAGTGAGTTCTGTAGGTTTACAGGTGAGGGCCGTCTGCACACCTGGTGCAGCTGTTTTTACTTTTTTATGTAAGAAAAATTGACAGGTAAAGACTTTCTGAGGTTAAATGGCTGTTTTTGTGAATGGAGTCTGGTGGAAAGAGACATTTCCTGTGTGGGCTAAACCCACACTGACTCTTTCAGGTGTCAGCAGCACGTGGCGTTAGTTTGTGTGGGGGTGTGGCCTGCTGTGTTTCAGTGTGTTCGGTGCTGTTTAAATAAAGTTGACTCTGTGACGCTGCAGAGACTCAGGACAGTCCTCAGGGGGAAGCCAACCTCCAGCTGTGGGAGCTGCGCAGCGGACGACTCATCAAAGCCCTCTATCAGAAGAAGGTGGAGTCGTGGTGAGTCCTGGCGCTCCCTGACCGATCGATCGTCTGATTGGTTGTTGCCTGTCTGTGTTGATGTCTGTGGCGGTCTGCAGGTGTCCCAGCTGGTCTGAAGACGAGAAGATCTGCGTGAGGATCGTCAACAACGAGCTGCACTTCTACGAGGACAACGACTTTGGTAAGGACGCGTGCGGCGGTAGCCTCTGTTGCTGTGCAACCAGCAGCTGATGTCTGCGCCATCGTTTCCCCCAGACTCCATCGCCAACAAGCTCCACATGCAGAAGGTGTCCGACTTCGCGCTGTCGCCTGGAGGTCAGCCCAGCAAGGTGAGCGGAGCGTCCGGCAGCACAGTTCATTTACCTGAGCGTGGTCCCACCCGCCGTCTGTCCCCGTCAGGTCGCCGTCTACGTCCCGGGCAGCAAAGGAGCTCCTTCGTTCGTCCGCCTGTATCAGTACCCGGCGTTTGGAGGGCCGACTGCTGCGCTCGCCAACAAGAGCTTCTTCAAGGCTGACCGAGTGACGATGCAGTGGAACAGGAAAGGTAGGCGTCCCGAGTCCCGACGGCTAAACCGTGACCCTGTGAGCGCTGACGCTAACCCGCCTGTCTCTCCCGCAGCCTCGGCCGTGCTGGTGACGGCGAGCACTGAAGTGGATAAAACTGGCGCGTCGTACTATGGAGAGCAGACGCTGCATTACCTCGGCGTTAACGGAGAGACGGCGCTGGTCCAGCTGTGTAAATCCTCCTTTTACTTCCCAGTTTAGCTTCTCGCTGCGGCGCCAGCGTTGGTCACCTGAGGGGTAAAATATGGCGACAGGAAATGTTTGTGTAACGACTTTTCTTTATCGCTTTAAACAGCGAAGAACGGCCCAATCTACGACGTGGCGTGGAGTCCAAGCTCCGCCGAGTTCTGCGTGGTGTATGGCTTCATGCCGGCCAAAGCCACCGTCTTCAACCTCAAATGTGACGCCGTCTACGACTTTGGGACCGGGCCGCGAAACTCAGCGTACTACAGGTGAGAATCCGCCTGTGCTCGACGGCGTGTTAGTGATGCCGCCGTGACGGTGGCTCAGCCATACGGCGTCTTCAGGAGGAGGTCGGTACGTGATGGAGAAGCGTCGTATCACCGCAGCAGGAAACGTTGGCTCCTCCTGACCCAGTGAAGTCAGTAGGATGGGATGCTTCCTGTGAGAGGCTGCACCTGATTGGTCGCTTTTAAGGAGAAATCAGGCTGATGTGAAACCTTAACCTGCTGTCTGTCTTCCTGTCTGTAGCCCTCAGGGCCACATCCTGATCCTGGCCGGCTTCGGTAACCTGCGAGGTCAGATGGAGGTCTGGGATGTGAAGAACTACAAACAGGTGAGGGGAAAACACCTGCGGGGGGAGGGTGGG